CAGGAAACGATGAAAATACTATTAGTGGAAGTGAAGAGAAAGAGCGAAATTGCTATGAGAGAAGTCTTAAGAGCTAAGGTTTCAGGGTATTTTCCACCCTAGCTACGGGTCTCCGCCCACTTCTCAATCTTGATCAATTTGGATACAACAAAATCTGCTAGAAACTCATGAAAATCATAGCGATATTATGGAGGTCATAATGTAAAAGAGCGTGTACCACTCGCACAGGGCTCAAAACTGGGTCGGCATTTTGTACAGGGCCTCTTCCTTGTTCATCTCCTTTTTTAAGGAAGGACGGGCTAGTCAGCTTCTCCACGCTTCACATTGAAAGCCCAACTCTTTATCGTACACTGTTTTTTGAGATTACATGGGATAATGTATAAAGTTTGTTTTTCTTTCAGAATAGCAAGTGAGTTTTTTTTGCAGGCATGGCCAATAAGCGGTGGAATTGCAAGGGAGTGCGCTACAGGTCATCAAGAACTCATACTTACTGGGTAAGATTAACTGCTGGCGTGCTCCGTTGACCTCAATAGCCTACTTCATTCCTTTATTCCTTTCCTCTATCCCTTTGACGTGATGATTTCAGTCATAAAGACGGTTCAGTACGTTTTTGGCAAGCGTCTGGAGAAAACCTTCAATTTTTGTATCGTCTCAAAACAACATCTCATTTTGAAAGACTGGAAGAATGGGAAGGCTGCGAAAAGGTTTCTCATGCTGTAAAATCAATTGAGCTTTGCGTTGAGGTGAGAAGCTTTGCCACTTGGCCATTTCTGCCCTATTCCAATGATGTTTTCCAGTCTCGACTACTTCTTGTATGCGGTGTCTCAGGACAAGTTACCCTATTTCGTTTTACAAAAACGGAAAGTATGAATACTATAGCGGTGAGGAGATACTTATAAATTTGATTTTTGATCACTTTTAGCTGTCATCAACAGAAATTCCTTTGGAGCTGATCCATTATGGTCGGATACGTTTAGTTTAAAGGCAGTTGGCATGATAAATCCACCAAGGCGACTAGGATCAATACTCCTGGCAGGACAGAATTCCGCGACCCTGGGCGCGCGGCGGTTTACCCGAAGAAGGTGCCCTTATAAGGGCCCTATCAAGCCACAACTTTACGTCCCAAATGCCCGCTCGCCCACATGGACGACCGTTCCCGACGCTTCATCCATTTGCTAAGTAAGTTATGAAAGGCGAAAGGGATTGGGTGATGAAGCGACTCGTGCCATGCTGCAGCCTACAATGCTCGGTACTTATATGCAAGTCGTACTCTTTCGGCTAGCCGACAAGCATAGGTTGGCGAGGTGGACGGTGATCGATTGCGCTGGCGCCGGTATAAAACATTGCCCTAGGGCACGTGCTATCATGCCGATCCTCCCCCACCCCCCTTCCAGCTTTCGCCATTTCCCCACTATACATGAGTCCCATGATACGTCCTCCTGATATTGCTTCACGCGCTACCCTCATCGATGATTAGTGCGCGTGAAACAGAAAACCCACGATCGAAGCCTCCCTTTCCCCCCTTACACACGTTCGGACGTCAATTTTTCCCTGAAAACTGGAAAAGTTTTTAGGAAACTGCAAAGGTATTGGTTGAGTAGTAAGGCTGCGTTTATACTTTGCGGCAGCGTAGCGTAGCGTAGCGCTAGCGTAGCGCTTCCAGCGTACGCCAGCGGCAGTGCCGAAGAGAGGATGCATATCGATCTAGCTTCACCAGCGTCACCAGCGGCACGCTGGCGTACGCTAGCGTACGCTAGCGTACGCCAGCGTTTCTCCAGCGTTTCACCAGCGTTTTGCTAGCGTTTGCAGCGGCAGGGGAGTAGAGACTATGGGAGAGCTGGAGGGTACAAAACACATCGATTGCGCGTCTCTCACTCGCCCTTAGTCTCTACAATGCACATCGCTTCTGCGTCTCCGACGGCCACATAGTCTCTACAATGCACATCGCTTCTGCGTCTCCGACGGCCATAGTCTCTACAATGCACATCGCTTCTGCGTCTCCGACGGCCACATGGTCTCTACAATACACGTCGATTCCGCGTCTCTCACGGCCACATAGTCTCTACTCCCTGCCGCTGCAAACGCTAGCAAAACGCTGGTGAAACGCTGGAGAAACGCTGGCGTACGCTAGCGTGCCGCTAGCGTACGCCAGCGTGCCGCTGGTGACGCTGGTGAAGCTAGATCGATATGCATCCTCTCTTCGGCACTGCCGCTGGCGTACGCTGGAAGCGCTACGCTACGCTGCGCAGAAGTATAACGCACCTAAAGATTGTAAGATGGAGCTGGTAGGTAACATTGTGGAACAGAGGTCGAATCGGAGGCGAAAATCTGGAGCAGCGGGTCGTACTTTGCAAAAATCTTTTCAGCGACAGGACGTCCGTGAGTGTGGCATAACTAGCCGCGCGAGAACTCTATCGTTTGCGAGAGTCACGTCGTTTCTGATCGTCTAGACCCTGCTAAGTCTGAGACCTGGTCAAGTAGAAGAAAAAATCTCACCGTTGCATGCCCCCTCTCTTCCACCGAAGTAAAATCGTGCCTTCTTTTACCGTACTGGTTTGGCAAAGCGTCCAACAACCTGTTTCTGCGCGGACGGCATCAATTCGATTGGGCAAAAGGAACTGCCGTCCATCATCTCCCTTGCTACCGTACTTTGAGAAAATGCAAACCCTTCAACATTTCGTAACCTCGACACATTACGGACCGCCATGCTGCACGCATCTCTGGATCATTTTATCATTTTTCATCAGTAATTTCCTTCCGTTTTCCAATCGGTTATGAGGTAAGTATCTTCCGTAATCGAGAATGTGTTTTGACAGTGGGACAAAAGGCAAGAAGATTAATCCAATGAACGAATCATGACATTGACATGTGTGTCAAGCGGTCTAGAACATGATAGATTGCTTGTAGAATGGCATTACCGTAATCATAACGAACTATTGCACTGAATGTTTTCATAGTGAGAGCGGAAGCGCCCTTCCTTTCACGGACAAAGAGAGCTTGTGGATGAAATTAGATTTTAAGGTTGTGCATATACCTCAGTCAAGTGCGTCATCGAGTAATACAGCTGATGAACGCTTGCCTCCCGTTCCACCTCCTAGGGAAATACGCCGCCAGAAGAAGGTATGTCTTTTTCGCTTTGTCATATCAGCTCACCTTCAGATTTGGTACGATTAAAAAATGAACTGAATCTGGAGTTATTTAATCAGTGACTGTTTTTATGAGTAATAACTTTGCAGCCTCTACTCGCTCAAATCAACAGACACCATTTCTCGCTTAATGTATATTTTTCTTCAATGATTAATTTGCCAAAGTTCAAACCATTACTTTTTCTAGACAATCCAGTCGCTTTTGGTATTCCTTCCCTTTTCCTTTCCTTTCCTACGTGACGTTTGTACCTGCTTTTGATGAATGATGGCTGCTTAGATTTTATATTCACATTTAAAATTCATTACAGATTTCAAATTTCGTTTACAGGTAATAAGCCGGGATTCAACCAACAGTCCAGACACGAGCGACGCGTCGGGAGATGAATGTATTTTCCCCTTCAAAGTTCGCGGAGCACCAGTAAAACGTTCCGCAGGATATCAGGTAAATTTTACGCCGATTTTTTTGGAGATACGAATTGTTGCAGGTTTTCCTGTCTAAATTTTTTTTATTCGATGCACATGCTCACTGACTCTTACGAAACTCTTAAAGAAGCGCTTTCTCTTGAACAAGGAGTAGATTCTCTTACCTGCGCAAAAATCCATTTAGAAATCTCAAAGCTTGTGGTAATTTTGCGGTCTAGTGCTGACGAGCGTAATGGACAAGAAATCTGAGAACGGAGCCCACATCGAGCCCATCTAGTGACGGCATATGCCAGCTGTAGAAGCCCCTACAAATACGGGTGTGACGCCTTGCATTCATTCTATGTGGGACCGAACTTTGTCGTCGCGCTTATGCCTCTCTAATTAAGCCGCACATGCCTCTTGCAGTGTCTCCATCGTGGATGCCGCACATGCGGCACCATTTGCAACTCCTCTTTCGCCCCCTCACCACATAGTCATGTAACATCCCACATCCCTTGTTCTACAGTAATTGATACTGTCGTGAAATGTAGCATTCACCACAAGTATGCTGAGTTATTGGGCAAAAGTCGGGCCCCAGGCAGGACTCGAGCCCGTGTGTTCCGCTGATCGGGCGAGTGCCCTACCCATTACGTCACCGTAGCCACCCTTGCAGTCTCAGCCATCGTGATGAGAGGTTTAGAGCAGCCCCGCTAGCGTAACTGCCAAGCGGGAGATAGGGGTTCCATGTGGGACCCGACATTTCTTCATAACTCAGCATTCTTGTGACTGGGCGTGAACTGCGGAGTTAAACAGCAGTTATTACTCTAAGAAAAACATAGCATTTATTTTAGCCTGAGCTTGCTTGTCTGGTTCCATGGGCGAGTGCGTCGCAAGCTGACACCGTGACAACCACAGCCCTCAATTCTGCATTCGGTGTAATTGCCCTCGGTGAGCATTTATTTTCGTTTTTTATGGACCATGTCATTCATATAAGTCTAGTTGTAATTGTGATGTGCCAAGGAAAAGTAGTCGCGACAAGGGAGGGGCTAATTGCCAGTTCCAATCTTCTGGGACATACTAAAAGAAGAGAACAAATGACAAGGTCATCGAGCTTACCGTCAGCTTCCCATCAAAGGCAAAATGACAGAGAATCATGTAGGCGAAGTAGAAAGGGGATAAAGATGGGTTCATACGTAAGTTGAGGAAGAGAAAAGATCGCTGAGAAGGAAAACGAATAGAACAAAGGGAGTTTGTAGTATGTAAATAGCACCAGCGAGGTAAAGAACGCGCAAGGAGGCTCAAGGAAGGGGTACATGAAAGTTCAAAATTTAGTTGAAAAGTAGGTCTCTGAAAAGGAAGAAGTGACAACGTAATCTAAGAATAGATCAGTGAGTCTTCTCTTCCCTCAAGGTGAATATGATATCAGTCAGTTGGCCTGGAGGGGAGGGGGTGGGATGAAGGTCATGGTGGGATTCAATCCGGAATTTGAACCCTAGCGGCCTCGTTTGTCAATGCCGACTTCGGTCCTGAGATCCTTGAGATTAAACGCCTAAGAGCACTGTTCAAGTCAAGGGATAGAGGTGGTGCAGTGCTGCCACGTGCGCATTTAGGGAGTCGAATCCTAGATCGGCTCTCGCCCAGGCCAACCTAGCTTTCTACCCCCCAAGGATGGTAAATTTACCAGAATCTATACCAGATTCTTCTGTGACGATAAGATTAGTACTAGTACATTTGGCCAGGCCTGCCAGTCATTCTATAGGCCACGCATTCAATAAGCCGATACGATTTTGAATAATTGGAATGCATGCCGCATCCCAAAAAGGAGATTGTTCAGCCGCGAAGACTCATTCCTTTTTCATTTATTATATCAAGGCACAGTGATAACTGTTAATGAAAAGGGCTCCAGAAGTATGCGTAATACTCCACTAAATTGTTGTAGGCTTGTCAAATGGCTTGGCTCTAGTCGATATTGCCCAGTGTGCTTTGATATACGCATGGAATACGTCGGAGTTGTATGGATCAGATCCTACGCCAGCGATCCAGTTACAGGTCGCTGACGCTTCACCTAGTCCTGCCGAGGTACGTGAATTTGGATTTTTGTTCAAAATTTGAATAAAATACTGGTCTAGCACCAAGTTTGTTTTGCAACGCTTTCGGGTGGTTGGGATAACTTGTGCTACGGTCTTAAATGCTTGAAATTGCAAGAAGTAGCAGGAGCAGCACCTCACATTCGTAGTCATGCATGTATTCGTTGTGGCCCAAGATCATATTTTTAGAAATAGGCCAGGTTGCATTTTTTTCTACTGCGCTTTGTGTCCCTTGGAACTTTTATTTCCTACCTAGTTTTTCAGAACCTTTTAACAGCAGTGATTTTTTTGTCCCAAAAATGATTGCCGTTTTGCAAAAGTCCAGAGTCAAATTGTGATAATGCAAGCAAAGCAGTTTTGTAGTCAAAATAGATAACGTTGAATTCCCACCCAGCTGGTAACGCCAAGCTTATGCTGTCGTTGTAAAAACAAACGCGGCTTCTGTGAATGGAGGAATGCTATTTCAAGCGTTGTTCGGCTTGGAGGCGGCATTTTGGGCTTTCGCTGATTTCTTTTATTTCATGTTGTTTGTTCGAGGCGAGTGGAACGAGTGAGCCTTTTCGGTAATAGGAATCTGCAGGTCTTCACAAGGTGGCCTGTAGAAGCTAGTTGAGTACCAGTCAGTGGTCCCACCCGGTTTAACTGCGCCCGTTTTTCGTCCTTTCTCTAATTTGCTGGCCTAGGCCTGCAAACAAACGCCCAGAATTGATAGAGAGGTCGAGAAAATTCAGCGGGTAATGTATGACTTTCAGTCTTTATGTTCTTATGGGTCACATTTTGTGAGGGCCTTTTGACATATGAGTTTTTGCGAAGAGGGCTCAGTAGAGGCCTCTTCCATAATAATTTTCATTGTTTTCGTAGCTGCCATGTTCGCTGCTGATGATGGGGCCTTTTAGGGAGGTTGACTTTGGTGCGTCGTCGGCCCATCCTCCACCATTTGTTGATGCGAGTGTACGACAGTAATTGGTGGAAAACGACTGATACCAATGTTATGATATGGTCCTGTCGCTTGCTGAAAGAAAGAAGAAAGGAAAGAAACGGGGGGGGGGGCACCGCGCCAAACTCATCCTCCCTGGACACGCGTCATTAGCAGCGGACAGCTGCAACTTCTTTCGGTCTTAATTCGAAACAAAGACTCTAATTCACCAAAGGTTAGATGTTAAGCAGTAGGCAGCACCAGTGAGGGGGATTATTTTCACTGCCCATATTCACCATAATAGCCGTTGACAGGAACTGGAACATAGTCGCATTTTTCCTCTTTCTTCCCAGTCCTCATGAGATTGAAAAAATTTTTCCTCTGAGGAGGTATCCTATTTTCATTCATAGTGAACGCTTTGGAGGTGGTCTAGCACTTATGGTCCTTCTCAGTCGTATCGACGGGGCGTGTCAGTGTAACGTGGATTGTGGACCAGCTCCAGTTCACTTACCACCAAATTGCCCGCTTCTTCTGGCAGTGACTGTCGGAAAACGAGCTGGCGCTACGCCAAAACCCACGCCACACTGACTCGTCCTGTCCATGCAATTGTTGAGGATTGTAACTCTGAGCGATGCGTAAATCTCAGGCAAATCTCTGCCTTCGCGAAGACTAGTGAGGTGCTGCTCTGGCTGTAATGCCCATGATGCTTGAGTGTGCTTTTGCATTTTGTTATTGTGATTGTGGTGTGTCAAGATTATAGCTCGAACAGCATAAAGAGGATGAAGAAATGGTTCGATCATCAGAAGTACATTTTCAACGGAAGTCGTTGTCACCAAGGTCTGCCGGCGAGAAAACTGTCACAGTGTTCCGAAGAAACACCGCAGAATTCGCCACTTCAATTCGTGATCGTTATCGCGACAAATTACTTGAACCAGATCGACCTCTGGTTGCTGGAGAGATCACGACTGCGGAAATATCCTTCCGACAAGGACGGTGCTATTCCGATAAATCGTCATCCACGTCCATAGGAATCATGCGACGCCTCACGAAGAAAGGCACGGCAGTTGCACGAAGCTTTTCGTTTCACTCCCATGCGCATGAAGGTCAGTTTGTGTTGAGTAGTCTACGTTTTCAGGCGCTGCTGTAGCTGAGAGGGGCCAGGCAACAGCGTGGCGATGTTCGCTCCATGAGCCGAATTACACCGGTCCGCATGCGGCGCAGGTGTAGTTCAGCTCATCCGAAGCGCGCCGAGATCGGGTAAATAGCGCTGGGACGGGGTCACATGTGCGGCACCATTTGCACCAGGACCACTGGTTCAGTGTGGTAATACTGCAGTGCCTCAAGTGGGATTAGCAAGAAATACTCCGTGCTTTGCGCGTAACGCGCGGTCTGTTATCGTCTGCCCTCTTAAGGCTGCCTTCACACTTCGCAGTGACGCATCGGCACTCTACGACTTCAGCGGTGCCGCAGTGCCAAGAGCGGAATGCAGCCATAGAGAAGTATCGCCCGGCGCCGGCCGCTTGTGTTTCAAGGCAATGTGGGAGAATAGGAGGGCACGCGTTGTCTACCCACACAGTCTGGTACCCTCCTATTCTTCCATACTCTCTCAAAGCACCAGCGGCTGGCGTCGATCGATACCCGTCTATGGCTACGTTCCCTTCTCTAGCTCTGGAGCGCTATTGCAATTGTAGCGCGAGAACACGCGTCATCGCGATGTTTAGACGCAACGGAGCCCTGCCGCGTGGCCACCCTCAAATACAGTAGCGCCTTTTCGCTTTTTAAGATCGCAGTCCAGTCAGAGAATCGTTTTTATGGTCTTGGTAGCTACAGACTCAGTCAGACTGCGTTCACACCTCGCGACCAGATCGACAACGAGTGCTCCTCCACTAATTATTGGACCGCTGCAATTCCAGTTCTGTCACATTTAGAACGAAGCATCTTCCGACCATTCGTCTGATGAAGATTAGCGAGATTTTCGAAAGATGTTGGGGGGGGGGTTAACGAGGCAGTTTAGAGATGAATTCTGGTAATGAAGTTTAGCTAGCGAAAAGGCAATAGTATTCGCGCAATTACGGTTGAGTAAAAAGTTGCAGCGATCCAACAATTAGCGGTGGAGCACCGTTGGTCGCAGTCTTTTGACTGGAGCGATTTAGGCCTATGATTCGTTCTTGTCGCGAAGTATAAACGCAGTTTGTGGTGTCAAACACCCGCAGTATGGCGCCGCATCCCATGATTAGTAGTGCAATGCATTCTTTTTCTTAAACAAAAGTGAGGGTTCACGTGGCATTTTTTTGAACGCTCCTTTCATTTCATCGCAACCAGGGGTCGCCTTCTACGAGCTCAGCTTAATAATTTTCTGTCATAGCTCGAGAGCACTACTCCGATAATACAACGCAAGTTTATGCGTTTACTTTCATTCGAACTGAAAAACTGCCTTACTTTGGCATCACTTCATCACTGTCTGGCACTGTCAATACTTTCCATTCCTGTCTTGTGCTTTCATTTTCATTTCTGTGGTTGGTTGGTGTTTTCCGGTCGCTGTTGTTTTCTTGGTTCCTGTCTGGTGGTTGTGGGCTTCTTGGTTTTTCATTGACAGTTATTCTAATGATACTTTTCAATTAGCTCTGTATATAGAAGTAGATATAGTTAGAAGATTTGAATTATTTAGTTAGAAAGTGTTTAGCATGTCTTGAAAGTGTAAAGACCGCTAGCGCTACGCATTTGGCGTAATTCCGGCAATATGTCTAGACCATTACAGTCACCATTAGCTGAGAGAAACCAGTTGGTACGGTTGAATACGGATTACCGTCAGAGGTCATTCGACCGGCGTCCACTGTTCAAGGCTCAATCGCTCATTGCTCCCGAACAGTGCAATGGTGGAGGTACACGAGGTATCAATTTAAACTGTAGCGTGCTTTCAACGTGATGTACACTTCATATCTCAAATGTGGGGAGGGCATGGCCACGTACTACATTTGAACCTGACGTAGGATGCGTTCTTCATGGGATAATTTCATAATACAGCATTTAAATTTCGCGACGGCAGCACTTCTATCGCGCACGACGCGACCGCTCGTATGGCGCAATCGATCGCGCTCCAGTACTGAAACTGAATAAGCCGATGCTTCTTCGACGTACTCGTTCATGTCTCCAACGAAAAATTAGGGTACGCGGCAGGAGAATCGTAATTCGCCGCGCCAGTGGGCGTCGCGTGCGACGTCGCGCCCGCTAATGACGACGATTTAGGTGGTATTGGTCGAGAATAGACAATGTATGGCCAAAAGAGACATAAATGTCTACCATGTCCTTGTCTACATGAAATCCGATGCTCCAATCGAAAGGGTAGTGCAAATTAAGGAAAGTCGCGCCCATTGCCGCGCGCGACAAAGCGGCAATTTGCAATTATCTTGCCCGTATCCCGAAAATTTACCTAGGAAAAACTATGCTTACATGTGATTTAACACAATAAACATCAACATCATCACATTATAGCACAAAGCGGAAAAATAAACGAGGAGAACTCACCTTCAAAATGAAGGGCCTGTGCCGGAGGGTTAGTGAAAAAAAGGGCGAACAAGAAGGCTCAAGAACACATATATGATTTGAAAGTATAAAAAAGAGAAGCAAAACAGTACGAGAACTAGAAAAGTCTCCTTTCAGCAGTCAAGCACCTTTCGTTGTTCAGTCAAGGCCAAGCATCTGAAAACTGTGTTCAAGAATGAAAAAAAGAATGAGAGGAAGCTAGGAGACTAAAATGAAAGGTAAAAGATAGATAGAGAAGATAAAAAAGAGAAGCAAAACGAGTACGAAGATAGATA